GTTCTTAGATTATACAGAACCCTATTGAAGGTGCAGGTAGCCTAATAGCTTTGTGCCAAAAAACACCAAACAACCGACAAACCCCATTGAAGGTGCAGGTAGCCTAATAGCTTTGTGCCAAAAAACACCAAACAACCGACCAACCCTATTGAAGGTGCAGGTAGCGTAATAGCTTTGTGCCAAAAAACAACAAACAACCGACCAACCCTATTGAAGGTGCAGGTAGCCTAATAGCTTTGTGCCAAAAAACAACAAACAACCGACTAACCCTATTGAAAGCAGTGATTTCAATTGTGTTCTCTTTATCACATGAAATATGTAAAAGATTCTTAGTCAGCACAGTTTCAGTTAAGAATAGAAACTGAAAGATTTAAAATTCCCCTCATTATTAAGAAGGAAAAATATGGGGGATATGGTTTATATTGAAAATTGTTAGTGAATTTGGCATATTAGTATCGCAAAAAAAAAGGACTTTGTTACGCTAATCTGTCAGATTTCCTTTTGAGTTATAGAGAGTAATGAGCATTATGAATAACATAGTTTTTTTTTGTATGTGGAATAAGGATATGTTCTAAAATGTGACTAATTATCTTAGGATTATTTTGAAACAATTTTTAATAATTCAGTTTTAAAAAAAAGTAGCGTTCCTCAGGCTTAAGATGCAAGGATTTGATAACACTTACAACAATAATCAAGTAAGTTATAATAATGGGCCTGGAAAATAAAGCATAGTGGTGTGTACAAGATTAATTTGAGATATTTTTATTTAAAAAAAAAAATTGAGGAAAACATATTTTACTATATGTATTTATATTTTTGTAGTTATATTATTCTGTGTATGGAAAGTCCTGTGTCATACAATCTTTGCACAAGTTATACAAATATTAAAAAATAGTTGAAAAGTAAAGGTGATGAAGTTTTATCTATCGGACAGTTGCCAGTGGAAGACATATTTACTAATATAAAATTGTGTAGGTTTGGAAGTGACCATCTTCACAGCAGTTCTTTTTCAAAATTGGTCCATTTTTTAGCATCATGAATTACCTTTATGACAAACACCGTGTTTTTTTACACTAAAGTAACCTTATTATAATTTTTCAAGCTTTTCATCCTGCTCAACATTGCTTTTCTAGGTTCATTATATTATATTGAAATGTACTTCACATTATTTGTATAAGTTAAATATCCTAAGTAACTTTAGTTAGAAACCTTTGCATGTAGTTTTCTTTGTTACATCATTATCTGAGGAAAGCATTGAGGTCCTAACTTTGAATTTATTTTGAGAACATGCATTAGGCAGGCTTGTAGTTTCTATGTTTGTTCTTAAGTATTTCTGGTTTTATGTCTTTCTGTTTCTAAATCTGCTTGTCTATTTTAAATGTCCACTCAATCTGTTGCTGTTATTATTACAAGCAGGAGGAAACTTTGGTCAATTTGTAGGAATTTCCACTGGTGGTAATTGCTACTTTCATAATGGAGCTTATGCAGTTTCATAAGATGTTAATCTTTGACTTTCACTAGCTTAATTTTTCCTTTGTATAAATTATTTTGAATGTTCTAGGATGTATTGTTTGATAAGTGAGTAAGGTTTTAAGAATTACTTTTAATTTATGTACTTTAACAATGCAGATAAATATACAAATTGTCATTACATGGTATAGTGTTAACCAAGTTTTACCGCATGATTCTAGCAATGATCTGAGTTTTTTTATCATGTAAGTTTAACTTTATGAAGTCATAAGTAAGTTTATAAGGTATAAATTGAGTTAAAAACTCCAGTTGGTATCTCATAGATGATATTCTATTATGTATGACATACTCTGTACAACCTGAAAGAAGGAAAACATTTATAAAGACAAATATTTTGAGTGATGCCAATCAATGAATGTTTTTTTCCTTGTTTTGTAGATTGAGAGAAAAATGATACCTGTGTTAAACCACTGGCAGAGAACATACTCAATCAAGACAATATTACATGAACTTCGTAGAGCAATGACTTTACGAGATAATCAGAGATTGGCTCAACCACCAGAGACTTCAACATTTTAACCATGAATGGAGAAGAAAAGAATCATGCAATGTGAAATGTCATTTTTGTTTGCACCAAGGCTCAGTAGAATGTTGCTGTAGCTTCAGAAAAAAGAGGCTGTTAACAAAAATTGGCGGGAAAGTGCTTAACTACCTCTATTTTTTGCAGGTTATTATTATTTTGTTATTATTGAGAACAGTTTAATGATTTAAATTAAAGCCATGGGTAAAATTAAAACAAATTATTTGCTATGTTTGCACTACATGAAGTGAGCTTATGTGATGTTACAAGAAGGTTTTCTTCCTTACAAAAAAGAGGATAATTTGTTTAGTATAGCAAGAAGAGGGTATAGTATTTATTTTATATTATAAAAAGGATTGGATTTACCTGATATCACTTGAAGATTTATTTTATGTTGCAAGGAGATGGGAAGGACTTATCTGATATCACATGAAGAGGAAGATTTGATTAATGTAAAAAAAAAAGGTTTGTCTCGTATTTCGAGAGGAAAGAAGGATAATGTGTTTGAGTGTACAAGGAGCAGAAGGGGATTTACATGTTATCTCCAGGAAATATAGAATGTTTGATTTTGCAAGTAAAGAGATTAGGGATTATCTAGTGTTACAAGGAGAGAGAGAAGGTTGCCCGACTTTACTAACATAGGTTTTATTTTACTGTAAGAACTTATAGATTGCCTGATGTTACCCCCAAAAAATGTTTTTTTTATTTTACAAGGAAAAAAACAGGATTTCTTGTGCAATGAGAAGATGGGTAAATTGTTTTCTGTTACAAGAAAAGAGAGGTGTGATTTTGTAGAGAAGGTTTGTGTTATAAAAGGATGGTGGAATTTTCTGGTGTTATAAAAGAAAAGTTTGATCATAAAAGTGAAGAGACGTGTTTTCTTGTGCTATAAAGAGATAGATG